GCTGACTTCCACGGCTTCAAGTTAAACTATACTCCGACAAATCTCTCCAGTCTCCAGAAATAAAACGTTTTTCACCTTCTAATAGTAACTATATCAGTACGTGCCGAAGACATCTGCCTTTCGCTCCTCTCCTTTTTGTGACGTTCAATTCACAATTACTTCAACATACAGAAATAACAAAATCCAATACATTTAATTTGCAAATATCAAAACAATGAGCTTTAGGCTACACATTTCACTGTGCGTATACAATTCTGACATCAAAATTATTTTAACATGAATTCTAACACACACACAAACCCATGTACATTTAACTACTACTCCCAGAACTGCTTCAACTCAAATGAATATCCGAAAAGAAATACTGCCTGAACTTATTTGCTTATTTATTTCTTATTTCACAATGAACTTCCTAGTCCAAATGTTTAATTATGAACTGTATTTAATTTTACTTTAACCTATTAAGGAATGATTAGGTGTCAGAGTCTTTAGCTGTCAGACTTATCATATCTTACCCCCTGAATTAGCCCACTGAAACTGACACTATTACTTCTACATATTTATTATATTGAATAAAATGTGGAACCGGTTCTATATAAATAACATCTTACAACATTAAAATATAATGTTTTCTAAAATATTTTTTTCCTTCAGTGTTTGTATTAATGTCCTTCCTTTCTGACTGAATGACATGTTACATACTGTGCATCTCATTGGCTACAGTCTGCAGTACAGACATCTTACCCTCAGTGACTGACAGGAAAACCCGATCTCCAACATCTGAACCTTCACTGATCTTCACACCACAGGAGTAATAACCAGAGTCCCCAGCTGTCAGATTGTTGATGGTCACAGTGAAGACTTGCTGGTCAGGATCATCTCTGATTGACACTTTACCCTCCTGTGGAGAGTCACTGTGTACTATGGGAGGACATGAACTCACATTATACCCTCTGCACCAGTATTTCACATGAGTTTTATATCTGTCATCATAGAAACATGGGATGGTGACAGATCCTCCTCTCCATGCAGACACCCAGCTCAATGTGGACACACTGTCAGCCCCTGTGGGGAATAAATAAATAAATATTTTCACATCACAGCATCTCTAAGTAATAATGCTTGGTTTGTATAATACTTGGATTAAGGTCACATGTGTTTAGCAGAACCATGGGAATGCTGTAAAAGACACAGACTGTCATTTTGGCATAAGGACAAGAGAGAGACACAGGAAAACAAAATGGTGTCTGATCTTGGGAAGAGCTGCAGCAGGATGTGGGATCGGGAACCTGAGCCTGGGAGTGTGTTCTAGGGTCAGAGAGGAAAACCAGGACCTTAAATCATTAGTAAAAGGCCCAGATGAGGTGAATGAATGGGCTCGTCACTGTGTGGGATGGCCACACCCCTTCAGTACTATGGCCTTACTTGTAAACATATCCAATGCTGTGATACAGGCCCTCTCCTATTCCCTCTATACATGCTTCCTTTGGGCTCCATTTGCAAATGTTATAATGTAAAATATCATTGCTATGCTGGTGATACGCAGCTCTATCTGCCATTAAAACCTGGTGACTGCTGCTCTCTGACTGCCCTTTCTGAATAAGGAAAAATAATAATAATAATAATAAATAGAAAATATAAACTAAAATAGAACATGCCCAGCTTTACTGCTGCCCGCCTGCAAACATCATACAGGTTACAGTCAGCCTGAGAACCTGTGTCCATCGTGCTGGGGGGTCTAGACTGTTGGGTGAGGAAGATGGAGTC